CAAAAATGAAGGCAGGGCCCCCCCCCCCCTACATCAAATGTGCCAACTCCACCATCCCCTTTAAAAAAATTTCCTAGTGACTTTAAAAGGTTTTTAAAATGCTTAATGTAAATTGCGGTCACTGATTTTAGACCTATAAGCCTGAAATTCGGCAAAAACTCTCATGTTTATGGGTACACGACATCTATGGTAAAAAAACGTCAAAAATCGACCAGACTTAATTTGATTTAGATTTAATTCGCTTGGAAAATTTTATAACCCGTCTATGCATTAATTATTATTAACTTCATTTTAGGGATGAATCGAGTAGCTCTAGTTCCGAGTCTGATGAGAAATCCAAGAAATCCTCGAAAAGGCCTGCAAGAAAATCCACCAACGACTCTTCTAAGAAACCTACAGGGTCCAGACGAAAGCGGTCCGATAGCAGGGACGATAAGAAGAAACGAAGTAAGAAGGACGAATCATCCAGTGATTCTGATTAAGATTATAGGACGAGGACTAGAGCTAAGCATAATGTGTGGTTGGTTCAGGTAAAAACTATGTTTTCAGATATTAAAGATTGTTCGTCTTGTCTAAGGATCAGGTTTAATGAAAAGAGAGAAACAATTATTATGCGCGGATGTACAATGAGAACAAGAAGACTGTGGAATAGGAAGACGACTTTTAGCCTCAAGTTATAATTTTGATTAGAAATGAACATGAAACGCATCAATTGTGCTGTTTACACAACACCGATTTTGACTAAATGAGGGAGTTTCAAATCAAATTAGTTTACCAGAAACTAATACCTAAAATAATTCGCTTTGAAACATCAATTTATCAACAACATTGCTTTAATGTCGTTTTCCTATTCCATAGTTTTGTGGTTCTCACTGTAGTTTAACCAGTGGTTTAGGTTGAAGAGTAGTAGTTGAACTTCAACGCGGGTAAACTATTTCTCGCTAATTCATTAAATCTGGTCCGATGAATATTATATTTCACAAGCAAGTACAAATGTTGTCAAGAATTTTACATTTTACAAGCATGGTTTATTATTGGCGATATCGATATTCTGTCTTAAAGTTCCCAGAGCCTTTCAAGATTATGTCAAATTTCCTAACCTTATCAAGTTATCATAATATATTCTCCCTCCCCCCAAACAATAATAAAAGTTTTAAATTTAATTTTCAGAATTTTTTGTAATAATTTTTCCTCTAAATAATTGGATTTTATTATATGAAAAGATCGTGAAGTTATAACATTGTCCCTCTCCCTATTTGTAAAAAAATATGTTTAAACCTCATTTTTTATTTCAGGTTCGGGCAAAGTTATTATTTGTTTACATAAAGTCTCTACTTGCAGGTATAAAAGGTCATTCAGGGGTCATTTTCATTTAATTCTTTTTTTACTCAAAATTGGTCCCCCCCCCCCTTTTTTTTTGGTGTTGACCCAGGTTGAAATGGCGGATGCGTATTTTATATTTCTGATGAATTTGTGTTTTCTTGTTTAATGTGTTTCAATTTATCTGATATAATCATATAATCCACTACTGATTAATAAACGATTTCATCTCGATATTGTTTTATTTATGACAATGTGTTCTAATGTGTGTATGATTTTTGAAAAATGAAATATATATAGTTACAATCACAACCCTTCCCAAGAAGTCGCCTTTGTTTAATGCTTAGGGTTTTTCATTGAAATTTTCGTTCAAATTTCTCGCGAATTTCGATTCGATTTAAATTGAAATCTTTCCATTTCGCATCTAGAAGATTGTATTTTTGAGGAAAAAATAAGATTTTGAAGGAAAGGTCGAAAATTTCGAACTAATTTCGCGAAAATTTTGTTCACATTTTCGATGGCTTAATGAAATTTTCGCGAAAAAGATTGAACGAAAATTTGGAAACCCTAGTTTCGCTAAAATTTTCATAGGGTTATTCTAGAAGACTTAAAAAAAATTTTTTCAAAGTTTACTTTATTTATACAGAGGCCGAATTTAAAGAATTTGAGTCGCGGTTTAAATTTAAGCCGCGGCTCAAATTTTTTTGGTTCCGCTTAAAGTATTAAAATTTTAAAGATTTAAGCCGGCGCTCAATTAAAACCGGCTTTTTGGGGATTTTGGACACGGCGTAAATTCATTAAATTCTGACACTGGATACATTTTTTGGCCAGGTTGGCGTCAAGCTGATTGCTGTGATGATGTAAAGAGAAAGAGGACTGGAGGCCCGGTTATCCATTAACCAAACAGAACCTTTGAACATGATTCATAACGTATTTTAAAACGATTGTATGAACTTTAATGGTAGTTTAATAGGGTAAAGACGGGAAAAATGAATATTTGAAGGATATGACATTACGACAAGGATTATGATCGTTTTTTTTCTTATGATCGTTCTTAAAGGGTCTAAAACAGACTTTGTTGGATCAAGTTTTGAACCATTTTGAACTTTTCTTGCTGTGACGAAAGGAGCTGAAATACTTCGAGAGAACGCTCATTACAATTAATACAAAGATCTGATTGACATCAACTGAAAACAATCCGGTATGATGAAAGTAAACTTTCAAAAAAATTTCTGAACATTGACTTCTACAAGTACCCCTAATTTTTAGCTAAACTTATTGATCACACCTTGTAAATTTAAGATTTTGTAATTTGTTCCATTTTTATAAACGTTGTTTTTTGAAAAACGAGCCCTAAGGTACTCTTCTTTTATATTCATTTAGGGAAACATAAATATGTTTTGTATAAATATAATCGACTCCCATCAAAAGATACAAAGCTTAACAAATTGAAGAAATATGTGTTGTCTACAGCCAACAGGGTGTCTCTAGAAACAGGTTCATATGAGAGTAATCAACATTAGTATACGACCTTGCCTCCACTGAAACAAAACTATTTTCTCATATTTTAACATTCTAAAACTAAGGTTTAACATTTAGCTACTGTTTTTCATATAGGTTTAGAACAATAGATGCATTTCATTGAAATTATCTCATGATGTAGGGGGTGCGGACTCCCTCGAATGACCTCCGGAGCCTTCTAATACAATATCACCTCCAAGCTCGCAAAGCCGTCGCCGTGCTTCTGAAAGCCTCTGCCATTCTGTCTCCGCGCCCTGTATTTACTGTATTTATTTTCAATTTACCTGCCATAGCTGAACCAACCAAAATTCAAAATATACATCTTCCTAATAGAATCTACAATAGTTTAAAGAATCCCTAACTCCACAAATTTTAAATATTAATTCATATTATTGATCAGAACTTCTTCACCTGTAAAACGTTTATACAACGCAAATGATAAAAGCACAAATTCAATTATTTTACAAAAATTTTGTTATGTGGATTCGTGTCATAAAGTTTGATTCCTACTAAAACCTATTTTTATTAAAAATTGCATTAGTAATTCACAAGTCAAGGAATTTGTTAAATTTAGAAGACAATAAGAGAAGTTTTAATCTCAATAAGAATCGACTTTTCAATACAAATTGTTTCTGTATGATAAAAACTATTTTATAATGTTAAGATAAAGATTCCAAAAAGTTGTGAATGTAAAAGCCAAATATCTTTTATTGGAGACCAAAATGCGGGCTGCAGAGATATAATAGCGGAGACGGTTTGGGGGGGGGGGGGGCTTTGGGATTAATCTGCGTTTTAGGAGGCTCTGCAGGTCATTGCGAGGCTTATGGCGGCCATGCATCTCTCTCAGAGTTTAGAGCATCTAAATAAATACAGAAAAAAGAACCATTATTCCCTAGAAGTAAGCAAATATATAAACCGATGATTGCTTCCTTTGTATCTGAAAAATGAAGAATTGATATGATGCAGGTCTATATAATATCTACCCACAAAGGTCCGAGACTTTAAAGGGACTAAACACGTAAAACTAATTACATCAAAGTACATCCTGTATGTATCGACTTAATTTTAGTCACATTTTAATCAATAACTCAAAATCGGGCGAAAATAGCGTAATATACTTTACTTTAATATTCATAATATATTCCAAGCAAATGTATAAAAGAAATCAAGACTCCAAATAATGTATCACGTGCAGTGTAAAGACATAAATTCTAAAGACCCCCATTTTGAAAAATGGGGGATGTCCGATTAACAATGGTACCCTTTAAACTAATTTATCCGAAAGAGAAGAGATATCGTCGAATATCTATCTTGAACAGCGTTGAATTCTGATAATTTCGTATTTCACAGTACTACAGTGATAACCAGATAACAATAGAACAGGAAGAACATAGTATACGGTGGTAGGCGATACTACCACTATAATGGTGATGACTTTTTTATTTTAGGTTTTTATTGTTAACAAGCTTTCTTCGAATTACAATTTTACAAGTAATTAAAGAGAACTCTTTAATTAACAGTTTCTCTTTGATTCCATTTTTGTGAAATCTTGACATTGATAAAAATTTGAATCGAAAGTCGTCTTCATTATATTGATATAATCGCCTACCACCGTAGTAATAATTGCGGTTACCTGCTGTTGTTTCAAAGCAAATAGTTTTACTAGACACTATCAAAACATTAATTTAATGGTTCTGTTCAAACTGCACTAATGTTGTTTCTCATGTTCATTGGACTTTTTAAAATTTTAACTAGATCTTAAAAGTCGTCTTCCTATTTCAAAGTTTTCTGGTTATTATTGTAGTGGAATGAAATCTCAAAACATTTTTAGTTAGCAAACTAACATGAAATCATTGCTTAGGATCCATTTAATTTTGATGCAGATCCTGGATCCGCATTGGAAAAAAATGGATCCGGATCCAGGTTATTTCTTTAAAATTTACTGAAATTTTTAACAAATCAGAATTTTCAAATTTTTTGTCTCATTTTCTTCATTTAGTTTTATGCTAAAACTTGAAATCAGGAAATTTTTTTAAAATCTCATTTCGTAATAGTTCTTTGAATTTTGATAGTAACAATTTTTTTTGCAGTTTTGGTTGATATTTTGCCCCTTGGATCCGGATCCGTGGATCCGCATATTTTTGCAGACCCGATTCCGGATCCAGGAAGCCAAAATCATGCGGATCCTAAGCACTGCTTGAAATTATGTCTTAAGTCCCTTTAAGGAAGATATGCTAATATTAATTGAATATCATCTTTTATAATGCTGACAAAAAATGCTAACGATTATGAAGTAAGCATAAAGTCGCAGTTTTGTTTTTTATGAATTTTCTCAAATAAGACCAAATATAATTAAATTGTACTGTCGTCTCTAAAAGTCTCATTTTCAAAAAAAAATCGTTTTTTTTAAGAGTTTTTGGTCGTCACTTAAGTCTCATCATTTCAACCTTCGTGAGAGTATGTGTTTGTATATAATAAAACAAGACAACGCCGAGCCCTTCAGCTAGTATAGAATAAATATATAGAAATTCGCTTAGATTTTAATTCATTGTAAGAAACCATAAATAGCTAAAGAGTTTCACGACCATAATAAAAACTCTGGTCATATATATCTTTTTATTAAAAAGATCAAACAAATTTTTAAAATTCGTAAATCAGTCTTCTCTTTTACGAATAACTGTACTTTTTACCCTGTATTTTTTGTACTTTTTACCCCGATTTTTTTGTACTTTTTACCCGTATTTTTAGTACTTTTTACCCCGTATTTTTAGTACTTCTTGACCCGTATTTTTTGCACTTTATACCCCGTTTTTTGTACTTAATACCCTGTATTCTTTTTTCTTTCTACTCCAAATTTATTGCACTTTATACCATGTTAATAAAAATGCAGTATATGTATATATATATATATGTTTATATAAGCTTATAATTTTTTATATAAGGCTTAGTAAAATACGTGAAGATAACAAAAGGTCAAAGAATATATATAGATTAAGAGTATAAAGAAATAAATCTAGTGGGGTACCAAGTATGCGCGAAACGCCAAAAAAATCAATTTTAAAATATCTACGTAACCGAAAACAAGACATATTTCCAGTTACAACCGTTTTTGGGTTTCCATGCAACAATTAATTTATCTAAAACGTGAAATTTCTTTAACAAGGTTTTCACTTTTAAATATATCGTAAAGTTGAATGCCGCTTTCTCAGCTGCAGATGATTGAATAATAGACAAGTAGGGAAAATGCAGGATTTCAGGATTTTTACCCTGGGTTAAAATTTCAACTCGTCGATTTTAGCGAACTTTCATTTGACTCAGCTTACTAAAAAAACTAGACCTTTAACTTTGTTGGTTTGGGTGATATGATTTGGTTTTTAAAGAGCATTTAAATTCAGTAAGTTTAAGGCACTATTTAAACTTTCTTTTTTGGCAAAATATGTGCACAATTATAGTTGAAATATGTGCACAATTATAGTTGAAATATGTGCTCAATTATAGTTGAAATATGTGCACAATTATAGTTGAAATATGCGCTCAATTATAGTTTGAAATATGTGCACAATTATAGTTGAAATATGTGCACAATTATAGTTGAAATATGTGCACAATTATAGTTGAAATATGTGCTCAATTATAGTTGAAAAAAGGTGAATAAGTTTGAGCGCTCTAGTGTATAAGACGTTTTTGAGTTATGAAGAAAAACCTCAAGAGGAAGGGGTTGAAAAATTCGCCCCTCCCCCTGATTGAAATATAATTCCTACCTTCAAGTTATGGATTTTAAAGATAGAGAGATTTTTATCCAATTTGGATTTAATGCTTTATAGAATTAACATTCAACTTTAAAGGAATTGAGTCTTTGGCACAAAATCAAATTTTCTAATCCCTATATCGTCGCAACCTGATGATGCAAACCTTTGACATTTCAAACTTAGATAATTTAATCTAATAGAATTCAAAGTTTGAGATATCTAAGGTCTACAACATTTGGTTGCAAAGATATAGTGATTATAAAATCAGGGTTTGTGGCAAAAACTCAATTACAAAGCATCTCAGATTCCTTTCAACCATTTTAGAAAATCTTAAATGTTTAAAAACGATGAGAAAACCTAAATCTAGCAACCAAAATTGTACAACCAAAATTAAATGTGAGAAAAAATTGTTTGAATTTTCAGTTTTCAATTCAATGTTACAAAAAATGTGCTCTAAGATTAAAACTTGTTATGCATATCCCGTTCTGATAAAACTAAGTTGGTACCCCTCTGACGGTGTAAATTCAACAATTTGTCTTAATCTTTAAAAATCAAAAGTTTCAAATTTAATCAAAACTTTTGACCTTATATTTAAATTTTTAAATGCAGAAAGAGAAATATTAGTTTCAAAATCAAATTGTTAAATTTCAATATTTGTGTTTATAAAATAATTCTAGTAAATCTGAAAAGTCCTTGAAATATATTAAATTTTCTTGATTTAAATTTTGAAGGTCGAACAAAATTTTTTCTGTTTGCCAAAAAGATTAAAATATTTATATATTCATTCAAAAACTCTCTTTTTATAAGTAACAAGGAACATTTAGCTTTATTTAACATCAACAGTTATACATAAACTTATTATCATTTTTACAAAATAAAATAATTTTTTATATTTTTCTTTTTACCGTTTTGTTTTGTTTGTTTTGTTTTTTAAATTCTAATTGTTTTGTTTTTAAGTATTTGTGGCAATTTTCTTATTTGAAATCATGAGTAAGTTATCTTTAATTTAGAGCGGTTAATTTCTATAAAAATTAGATATTCTGACATAATAAGAAAAGTTTTCAGGTGGAACAAAAATGCAAATATAAAGATTAATTTGTCTTTAAAATACTTTAACTTTGAGAAAATGTTGGTGACTCAATCGTTACCAAAATATCACACTTATCTCCAAAAATATTAAGTTACAATTTCATGCTGTACACTGTAATGTAAACTGCTTATTTTATACTGTACAGTGTACATAGTACATTGTACAATATAGACTTTACACTTTTATCTGTAAACTGTACACTGCCCTCAGCACAATATAACTAGAAAATTGTATAATAAATGATTTTTTCTACAGAGGAACAGCATCAATATAATTATAAAGGGTATCCCAGTAAATATGGGTGTTAAGTGACAACTTTTTAACTTTATGTGATTCTTTCATTTGTAAATTTGAACATAATATTCAGGATTTCTAAAATAAGGTTTAGACATATTTTGATTTCACATTTTTAGGAAGAGAAAGACCTTAAGTTTTGTTTAGTTTTTGGTCTGTATTTAATGGTAGGAATGTAATTAAACAACTAGAACTTTGTATATAATATATATATTCCTTATATGAACATTTTTTTACTAAGATATTGGATGGGGACACCTTTTAATTTCATGCAGCGCATCACGTTTTTGTAAATTTCTATTAGATAGTTTCTAAAAGCCAACAATTTTTCAAGTTGGCTGACAAGTGACAATTGTCAAGTTTTGCGTGACACCCTGCAAACAAATTTTAAATTAAAGGATTAATTTTTTAACAATTTTTTTTTTCAGTTAAAAAGTCATCATGCCAGTTTTACAGAAAATAAGATACCAGTTAAGGTACTGCAATCAATTTACAAATATCAAAATTACGAACTTTTTGCTTGAAATAGTTTTTTTTTTACATATTTTTTTTAAATTTTAATTATTTACAGAATTCTAGAGAATCCACAGTCCGCACTCCTTCACTGTTTAAATCCTTTGTTTACCTACTCCCCTGTAGGATGAGACACAAGCAATTCTACGCAGCCCTCTCCTAATTATGGAACCGGGAGCCACTGTAGGCAGGTCCGATCCCGATAGGAAGCTCCAAGTCTTGTTTAAAATTTTAGTTTGATAAACACACTTGAATGAATGCTGAATTTTCAAAAACTTAAAAATATAAAATATCTTTTTGCAATTCTTTGAATTGCCTTACTTTCATCATACATAGAAGTAACTTTTAAGTCAACAAACACTGAACAGTGAACAATATAATTCTTTTAAACATAAATTCACTACTGGTTCTGGTGATTCAAAAGGTCTGAAATCTTATAAATGCCCCTTCAGAATTTTTCCTTAGAACTTCTATGAAAGGTTTCAGCTATAAAGTGTAAAATTCAAGTTCATATTGATTTTTCCTGGAATGGTTGAAGTTGACGGCAAATTTGTCTGCATCAACTGACTTTAAATCAGGATTGTTCAAAATCTTGAACTTTGGTGGTTCAGGAGTTGATCCAGTAAGAATTTACAAAGTAATTGAACTGGTGGGGAGTAATTCAGGGACCTCTCTCCATTCAAAGTTCCGAAGGGGCAGTCTGTTATCCCTGCACTCCGTATTTACCACCACTCAACAAATTGTCTCGAACTTATACAGTTTTCACTTAGATCCAGTTATATATAAAACATACTTCACTGCAGGTCCTTTTCACATTGGGTGGACCAAACTGACTGGTACCAGTAAATGTATATATAAGGTATGGTATGATTACACTGGATGTATAAACCGAGCTGAGAACTTTAGAATGGGATACCATTAATCCCCACTGCTTAATCCGAATATTCAATGTGGACACTTTTGATTTCTTGCTTAATCCACTCTTTTTTGGATATAGTACATAAAAATCAAACACCAGTTTTTTAGAATCAAGAGTCCTTCCCGTTTCTGTATATTAAACTTAAATGGAGCGCAAAATTTCAAATTTACCGGCTTCTGATACGCGAATCTAATTGGTTGAATTTTATACACTTTTCAGGATACAAGTACAAGATTAAGTTAGTCTCGAGATTAAGAAAAAGAGAGGATTAAGCATTAATCCACCATTCTAAAGTTTTCAGCTCCGGTCATTTAATGATTAGACTGGTGTGGTTTTTTAAACAACAACAGCTCGTCTTTCAGCCACCCCTGCTGAGACAGTCAATGTTGTCATCATGATGGATTGTGTATGGCTCAGTTTCTTCAACCCTGTATAGCACAGTTCATTGCTAGAAATGATTAATCTAAATAAACCCCAACATTTTGTTCCTCATATCAAACTTGCCAGAAGCATGTGAAGTGACAAAAATTTAAGAAAAATATTTGTTATTGCAAAATTCTTGCAAAAGTCTTTTAAAAGTTCAATGTTACACAGAAGTTGTAGCGGTTTCTTTTTACAGTGTGGTGTTCATGTCTTTAATAAAAAGTCATAAAAGTATTTTTGAGTGTTTTTACATAAAAAGTTAATTTTAGTGTTTGCAAATTGAATGTAATAAAATAAGATAATTCATCCCAAAAAATATAAATTATATTTTCTTTTTCTCAGAATTTGTTATTTGAATTCTAAATGTAAATTTAAAATGTGAATGGCAACGCAAATTCAGCTAAACAAATTCAAAGTGTTGTTATCATTGTAAAAACTACATCAAATTATAAGTGTTTTTATTAATTTCTATTTGAGTTACGGTTTTCAAATTTTAAGAAAATAATGAATAATAAAATAAAACATAATAATTTTCTAAAATATATGGGTTAATTTAAACCAATTCCTCTGGAGGACAAATATTGAACACTGTTTACCAGGTAGGATCCACTCGAAATCATTTTTAAACATTGTGCATTCGAAAAACCAAAAAAAAGATAACGGTAAAAAGTATTTGTGAGGAGGGGAGATGATTTTTCAAGGGAAAATATATACCCAGGTTTGTTGTATTTTCTAAAATTAACGCATGAACCTCCCTAGTGTGATGAAGAGTTGATCCCTGAAGGTTTTATCCTTCCAGCAGTAGATAAGAATATTAGTACTGGAGTTGAGGGTGAGGAGAAGGGTTGATAGCATAGCCAGGGCGTTACACCAGTCCGGCCACTCCTCCATCAGGGGACCATTTGCTCCAACCAACAGGGCTTGCAACACCTTGGACACATACAATTTACAATTTTTTACCTTTTAAAGGGACTGTAGTCGGAATTTTAAGTAAACTTTAGTTTATAGAGTGATATTGGAATTGAAAGTAGATTTTAAGGTTGTTTTGATTATAAATGGCTATTATTATTCACTTCTTAATAATTAGCAAGAAATCTGCAATTGATAAATTTAATCAGATTTTAGCTCAATCATTTATTCGTTCAGTCTATTAGTGCTCACAATGATTTTAAATGAGCCCTCTAATCAAATTTTTCCAATAGAGAAAAAATAATTTCTGAAAGGGAAAGATGACGTAATTTACAATCAAATTACCAAAGTTTTATTATCATTGGAATCTAAAGATATTAAACTATCTTACCTCATATAAGTTCAAGACCATACGGACCACGTTGCAACAGACAAAGACGACAACTATGAAAACCAGCATTTTTGCAATACTCTGGTCACGCTTCTGTCGCGCAGTTGCTCGGCTCGCCAGTGTGCTTGAACTATTAGTGCGTAGTTATGATAAAGGGTATTTTTTAATATCTTTTTTTTCTTCATGATTTAAATTTGTTTGAAATATTTAAATGTCAATTTTCTGGCTTGTATAACTCGGCAAATATGTAATCCTTTTAACTGATTTTCCCCACATATCTCAAGTTACACATTTAATCTAAATATTTAAAAATGTGCAAAAGTGTGAAATGTCCAAACTTTTAAATATTTTCAGTACTTAGAAAGCAGATTAAATTTTCAAAACTTGATACCTTTAAATATTAATTTTGCTAGGGAAAGTTTCAAAAATATAAAAATTCTAAACGAAAAACTCATGTTCTGTATGTTTCTGGAATTGGCAACTTAACACCAAAAACACAATGTTTAGAAAGTTACCTTTTATAATGTGACTCATAAAACAATACAATGTTAATTAATTAATTAAAGTTAATTAATGCCTAACCCTTATTTTAAGTTTCATTTTTACTTTCCTTTAAAACTTCTTGAACACAAAGCAGCTCGTTTACTTCTATTGTTATCTACGGAACTCTAAGTTCAAAGTTGCTGAGATTAAATTAATTAACTTATATTGTGTTGGTTAAACCATTGTGTAAGGCACGAAACAACATATTGTATTATATTTTAAGAAACAACATATTGTATTATATTTTAAGAAACAACATTTTGTATTATATTTTAAGAAACAACATATTGTATTATATTTTAAGAAAAATATAGATTATTCTATTTAAAGTTCATAGTTTGGTACATTTCTCAAACTTATTGGAGAATTTTTGTCTTTATTCAAGAACTTTAAAAAAGAAATAAATTTATTGTTTGTGTCAATTATACATACTTTTCCTATCTGTTTGTTAACACGGCTGAACCTATCTGTTTGTTAACACGGCTGAACCTATCGGGCCCAAATTTGTTATGAAAACTCAATGACTCCAGGTAGGTGTATAGATGGTTAAAGATGAATAATGTTGCCAAGAAAAATAATATCAATATTTATTATGTTTGAAAATTAACGAATTTAAAAAGACAAATCCGTTAAATACAAGAAAATTGACGCTTGAAGAGCAACGGGGCCCTCAATTTTGTTCCAATTCACTTGACCCCGATGAAAGATTCTGGATGGTTGAAGTNAGTTAATTTTGATAGGAAAATATAGTTAATTTTGATACGAAAATATAGTTGACTTTCATTATTTTTAAAAATGCACAAAACAGAAAAATTCACGAAACTTTGAGAACGATTTTAAATAGCGTTTTTAGAACAACAGTTAAAAGCCGTAATTATTAATGGGAAAGGGGCCTCGATAGAAGCTCTTAAAAAAGGAAAATCTATTCATATTTGTACATAGCCATATCCATAAAGGAATTGAGTCTTTGCCACAAACTCTGATTTTCTAACTTCTATATCTTTGCAACCAAATGTTGTTGACCTTTGATATTTCAAACTATTCATTCTGCTAGATCATACAATCTAAGTTTGAAATATTTAAGGTGTACACCATCTGATTCGATAGATATTGGGATTGGAAAATTTGAGTTTGTTGCAAAGACTCAAATCCTTTCCCTGTAATGTATATTGTAAATCCATAAATCATTTCAAGTTTCATTTAAATTTTACAGATCTACAAATCTTTTGCCTATCTTCAACTAGAACATATGTAATCTCGTATCTAAAATTCGATAAAATCAATCTTTCTTTTATGCATTTCGCCCATCCATCTTTGCTTGTTTCTTTTTGAAAAAATTATTATTACTATTATTATTATTATCATCATTATCATCTTCATCATTATTATCATGAGTATGCCTAGTGACTGTTTTATAGAGCAGGAAGTTAGTCACTGCCAAGATAATAAACGGAAGCAGTCCCATCATGAAGAAGTTAGCCAGCAAGATATAATACCTGAAAATAAATGTCGCTGTGATTTAAAGGGACCATTCATTTAAAATTCCGTGCTCAATTCACAACAATACCCTTTTATACTTTAAAATGATCAATAATGTGAAAGATTTTGTGGTTTTCGAAGCTTTAAAAGGCTGTAATTCATTTTATTGGAGAAACCACATTTGAAAATAATTAATTTTAAAATAGAAAAATATGAATATCAGTCAACGTTTTGGTAGGTATCGTTGTAAATCAGACATGGCACTCTTTTTTATTTTAAATGGATAAACTATATTCTTCATTCGCTACTTTCTTAAACTTTACAGCACTGAGCTGCGTTTCCAAATAATTGGTTTATGTAATGTCAAGAAGTATACTCCTAAACCCCTCATCAACCTAAACTAAGCATTACGTGCGTACTGCATTCAGCGATCTGCAGTGCAGTACTCACAGTTCAGTCCGGATCATTTCAAGAACCGGACCGACATTTACCAGCTAGAGCAAGCTGTACAGTACATATGCATATTATCACAGGCAAAACGGGACGGTATACCTAGTGAACCAGCTCCTTCTAGGCAAGAAACTATATATTTGTTGTTTCAAGGGAAATCCTATTGTACTCTGACCGAATAGATAATGGGTTTTAGCCAAAGAGAATAGAATATATATTAGAGGGGAATTTAAAGAATCTCTCGGTATGAATTTTTTCAGTCCCTTTCACCTGAAAGGGAGTTCAAAGTGTACAAATCATGTAAATGTTCACAAATTATATGCAGTAGAGTACATTAATACAGTATGTTCCCTAGATTATCCATTTCAATTTCGAATTTTTTAAAGCTGTTAAATAAACTTTACAATGAATTAGGTGAATAAAAAACATCATTTTATTTATAGTTATAACGAAAAATCATCGTTTGTAAAATGAAATGCATAGAGTCTATGTGAAATGATCAATGGTCAATTATAAACCAGCATATTTCATAATTTGGGTTTCTTTTAAAGTACACCTGCAGTATGGAAACAGTACAAAAAAATGACCGTTTTACACTTTTTTTCTAGTAAATTCCACTCTAATATATATTATTCTCTATGGTTTAGCGGAGAGTGTCATATTTGTACTGTAGTTTATGGGAGAAACGTAAACACCACTCACTGCTCCCCAGAAACTGCGATACACTTTTCACTATCATCCAAATATTGCAAGATTTAAAAAAAAAATATTTTATCATTTTGCCAGTTTCTCCTTATAAACTGAAGTAAAAAAAGAACAAGTGCTTTATAGTTTAAAGAAGAACATGTCTTGGGCTACAAAAAGCATGAGTTAGTTATTCAGGTAAAATCAACACATCTCACACATCAAAGTGGCGAATTAGTCCTGAAAATTGTATCAGCCCAACCCTATTAAGGGTCCTAGTCCAGGGGGGGCTATGGGGACTAAGCCTCCCCCTAGAATAGTGAAATCGTTGAATTGCAGGGGGTTTTTATTCCCAATGGGTGCTGAGCCCCCCTGGAAATAAAAAATTTAAGCCCCCACCCTGGACAAATTCCTGATTACACCCCTGCTGTATTCCTTATCCCGTATTGGATTATTTTAAATACAAAAAATAATTTCAGATAAAAGAACATTAAATATAAATAAATGTATTTGAGACTTTTTTTGCTTTCAAAAAGTTAAACGTAGTTTTTTCAATTTGAGAATATTCTAAAAGTTGGCTTTTTTAAATGGGTTCTTTGACAAAGTATTTTAGGTAAAAATATTTTACAACAAATATAACCATTAATATTTTAAAATGGATTAATAATGCTCAAAGATTTACTTATACATTATACAATGTCAAAACCAAATCTCAAATTCCACCATTTAAAGGTGTTTTGAAAAATTTGACACCAACCTGATATACATTGGGTCATTTCTCATTTTAGTTGGGCACAGTGTTGGGTTCCTAAACAAAGTGAAAATCATAAAAGATACTAGCGCCTCTGTTGGTGAAAATTGCATTAAAATCTACGTTATAACACTTTCTCGTCAAATATTGATTGATTGATCACACAGAATACTTACTCCTTCGTGATTGATTGATTAATTGATCAACAAAACAGAATAATTACACGTCAGTCATTGATTGATTGATCAAACAGAATACTTACTCATCTTTGATTGATTGATCAACAAAACAGAATAATTACAAGTCAGTCATTAATTGATTGATCAAACAGAAAACTTACTCGTCAATTATTGATTGATTTATCAAACAGAATACTTACTCGTGAGTTATTGATTGATTGATCAAACAGAAAACTTACTCGTCAGTCATTGAATTGATTGATCAAACTGAATACTTACTCGTTATTGATTGATTGATCAAACAGAATACTTACTCGTGAGTTATTGATTGATCGATCAAACAGAAAACTTACTCGTTATTGATTGATCGATGAAACAGAAAACTTACTTGTCAGTCATTGATTGATTGATCAATCTGAATACTTACTCGTTATTGATTGATTGATCAAACAGAATACTTACTCGTCAGTGATTGATTGATTGAATAATCAGAATACTTACTCGTCAGTTATTGATTGATTATATGAGTTAGTATAGGTTCTCTGGGCGTCTTCTAAGGATTGGTTGAATTGTTTTATCTCAGCTGGGGTCGGGTCAGTGCTGTTCATATCTGGAAAATTAAAAAAATGTAAACTTAGATCTTTAAAACAAATTCTCTATTGCATTTTTCCATTTATGATTTAGTGTTTTCAAATGGTTTTCATACTTCGAAATTTAAATTCAAATCCTTTTTTTATTTAAATTTACCATTTTCCCCATATTGGTCTTGTTTTTTATTTAATTGTTTAAAAGTGCTATTCTGATCTTGGGATAGGATTGAAGATGTTAAAAACACCTCTTCAGCAAAAAAACCCAGATTGTCATGTCCGAATCACAACGGTACTAGGGGGCGGAAACGTCATGTGTTTGTGTCTGTACCAAAAGAGAGTGTGAGTGTAATAAGGAACCGAAATTTGTACTGTCGGTGTATACAGTACAGAAGAATCTCGATATTTGTACAGTCTAGGAGCGTACATTTGTTTATTCAATTTCATGCAAAGAATATAATTTGATTAAAGTGTACAATAAAATACTCGTTAAATTCAATATTAATTATAATTGACGACATTGTTCTGCGCCTTTCTTGACTGTAGTCATGTTGTGGGTCTGTACCAAAAGAGTGTGCGTGTATAATAAGGAATCTGTCTGCAAATCAGTGCACATGGCTTTCTCATGCCAGACCAGCGTCATTTCCCTTCCCTTTATTCTTATTCCCTGGACAGTACCCATTAAGCCTTTTTCTGATTGTCAATAAGAAAGATATCCTTGACAATTTCCTACATTTTTGCGTGGGTTGCTTTCAGAGTAAGATCACAATTTTATAAATTCCAATTTTAAGGCAAAAAAAGATATCTCAATGTTGACAAAATTTCTTTTAACAACATTTTTCCCATTTTCGTCCTTAATTAAATTGGTTCTATAATTCTATAATTTTGTTCAATTGGTATCAAATCTTGAAAATTAAATTACAAACATTTTTTTTTACTAGTTTTGATTAAAATAGTTTTGTAAACATTTTACGTTTAATACAACAATTTTTTTAAATTGTTTTTTTTTATTTTCAGCTTTTTTTTGCTGAATCTAATAAATTACAGATATTTTTTACCCAAACCAACTCTATTAGTTAAAATCACAATCAGCTATTAAAATAGTTCACCCAATT